AAAAACACGCGGAGCAAAAAAAACAAAAAAACTCTTACCCTGAAGTAACATAGCTCCCTTCCCTAAACCGTTCTTCTGTTGTATACAGTATAGTATAGTGTAGTGTAGTGTAGTGTAGTAACGAATTGCTTTTTGATCTTCGGCCTCCGGTCCCCGGCCTTGGAGTCAACTTGGGGGGCGGGGCGGTAACCTTTGAGATGGGCGCAGATACGGTTGATACTATAAATCCTTAAGGGTTCCTTGAGGGTTTTCTTATGGTTGCCTTAGAGTTCCCTTAGGGTTATTTTAGGGTTCCTCAGGGTTCACTTAAGGTTTAAGGTCAGGAGTTCAAAGGTTTCCCCAGCCAATTTCTACTGTTGATATTATCAATCCTTTTCATGACCCTAGGTACGCTAAACCCTAAGGAATTCGAGTAGTTTAGTATTGTAGAGTCATGCAGGATTTACAATATCAACAGTCTCCTGAAAGAAAGTAGAGCCGGACGTATAGATCAAGGTGAGTAGAGTCGATGACCGATGATGCACACTGCGGTCCCTATAAGCAGGGCTTTGAGAGCTAAAAGTGTGCCCTTCTTACTCTGCCAGGCTTTAGAACCGTTTTTTTGCTTCAGACTTTAGGGAAAGTTCGGTGGAGCTGCATTCCAGCGTCCAAGGGTCGGATGCGCTGAGGTTCCGCCACGGACTTAGCCCTTGTGTGTGCTGGCAACGACGGGGACACTGGGCTTGGTCAGGTCTTATTGAGATAGATACTGTCCGACATGGTAGGCTTTCAAAATTGTGGCCCCTTTTTGGGGCCCCTATTGTAATACGGCCCCCTAATATTTAGGGCGCCCAGCAGAGATCCATAATTTTGAAAACCTACCACATAGGGTTGGTAGTGTGGCACAAGGCAAGTTTGTAGCGGTTCTGACACCACCCACTTTCTGCTCCATTCTTTCAGGGAACAACCTTACGCTCGTCTCACTAGGAGTGTGCATGTAGCAACGGTGAGGCCCGGGTCCCAAATATCTTTGTAAAACCTTGCGAAACCCTAGCTGCCAGATAATTCAAAAATGTCCCTAAACCCAAACCTCAAAACCATTGCTGGCGGCGCCCAGGCGTCTTCCATCAGCATTCTTCCTGCACAGCAAGACTATCGGTAACGCATGGCGACGGTAAAAAAAAAAAAAGCCCTAAACCATTGTCTCCCACCTACGAGGCACCCCTTTTAAAGGCAACCTAGGTACCAGCAACTGGGGGTTGTTCTAAATCTATATAGGTAACTGGGAGGCTAGGGTAAGTTATGGTCCCTAGTTACTAGTGCCCTTAAAGCACATTGTAGAGGTAACTGGGAGGCTAGGGTCATGGCAGTCTTGTTTTAGCCGACCATCCAAAAGGACAGTACACCTGCACGCATGTATGGCCCATACAGACAAGGTTCCCAACACCGTGTTCACAAATACCTCAGATAAGCCAGAGTTCTGTATTGGTCTTAAGGGTTTAGGGGTTTAGGGTTTAGGTTGGGTACTACCCCCACTCAGTAACCGTTAGATAAAGTTACAGTTATAGTAAGGCCTTATTATGACCCCTATCAAGGATTGTTAGTGCGTGGGTACTTCAGGTTCCACACCTTGCAGCAGTAGAATTCTGTGCCCTACCTTGGATTGTTTATAGATTTTTCTTTCATGGGTTTGAAGGGAAGGGCTCTAAAGGCCAATCCAGTGTATGTTGGAAAAGCTGACTGCTGTTTCTGGCCAGTTGGCTGAATCTTTGCATGGCAGCTTGCTTGGAAGACCCACTCAGTTGGAGAAGAACAAGGGGCCGCTAGGACTTGCCAAACACCGGTCCAATTTGCCAAGTTTGGGCCCTCAAGCTTCGAGCTTGCGTATCGAAACGGCCCTCAAGCTAAGACAATGTGGGACCGCCGACAACGCTGCCTCCCTCACAGCTTGTACGAAGGATCGTGCCTTGATTTCACAATGTACGACTTGCTCATGTCTAGCTTCTCTTTAAGCAACATGGTTGACATCGAGAAGGTATTGTTTTTCTGCAAGCTGGTGCACGCAGCTTGCAAACCTGTTTGCTGCAATGCGAGTTCGCATGCAACGCGTCTATTTTGTGTTTCAAGGCAGCACAGCTTTCCAGCCGGGCTGCATGAACGAAGCACGAGTCAGGAAAAAAGGCACGAGTCAGGAAAAAGAAAAGGCACACATCAATAAAGAACAAAGCACGAGTGTACAAAATGAAAGGGCACGAGTCAGGACAAAGAGAAGCACCAGTCAGGAAAACAGAAGCACGAGTCAGGAAAAAGCCCGCGAGTCAGGAAAATGAAAGGCACGAGTCAAGAAAGAGCCCGCGAGTCAGGAAAAAACAGAGCATGAGCCGGGAAAAACCTTGAGTCAGGAGAAAAGCAGGTACGGACATCTGTCAAAATCACTCGTTTTCCACCTTACGAGAGGTAAAGACAAGGCAGCTGACAGACGGAAGCCAGGTGCAAACCTACGTTACAACCACCTTTTTCACCTAGCGATGAGTAGAATGACATGACAGAGGGAAAGAAAGCCCGGCACAGACATATGTTAAGACCTCCTTTTACACGCTGCGACAAGTAGGAAGACGTGACACAGGGAAAGCCAGGTACACATACTATTATCAGGCGAATATCCGAGCATTCCGTGTTCTTGGTTCCCGACACATGCCTTCGTTTTTTTCCCAATTCGCGCTTTCCCTTTTTCCCCACTCATGCCGCTTTTTCCCGACTCACACTTCCCCTTTTTCCCAACTCACGCCTCCCTTTTTCCTGACTCACGCCTCAACCTATGGCTGCATTCGGCTCCTTCGCTTTGCCGATATTCTAGCTTGTACTGCGAAGCGCGAAACAGACCTGAAGGTTGCTACTCGCATCCTTGCTCCAAAGCTAGAATGTCGTCTGCCTTCATGTCAGGTTCTCCCAGCATCGGCCATCTTTAGAAAAAGCAAGCACCTAAGTACTCTGGTACACTCAGGAAGAAAGTGACCTACAACCCCCGCTTCGACATCTTGGCCGCCAAGTCCAGCCTTTGCGAGGTGCAGATCAACGCCAGCAAGTCCTTGCACGTTGACTTCAGGTGCCTTTGCGCGCAGGAAGCTCTTAGAGCCCATGACCCCGATCTTCAGCGCGCAGCATAGTGTATTGTAGTTCACGTTTTAGCAGAGTGTAGAGCAAACGTTTGTGTAAAAAATTGTGTCTATGTAGTATATTAGACGGTTTACTGGAAAATAGGACTAATAACAGAATAACATGCAATATATAGAATTGGTGCTATACTATCAAGTCGTGGAGACGGGGTCTGTATATATACATATATACAGTGTACTTAGGGTTGGGGGTCCAGGCTGAGGGGTTTAGTACAGTCTACCATAGCATCACATAGTAAGGTCCACAGCCTACGGAAGCACAGTATAGTGGGTAGAGCTTCAGCTCGTTCATGGTGAGTGCGTGTCTATCAACTTGAACGTGCGCACGTGACTGGTGCAGTTGTTCAATAGAAGAGATGAAGATGCCACCCAACGGGCCTTCCAAAAAGGAAGCAGAAGGCTAGACCACTACGAAGTAGTGGTTAGAGCCAAACCCTAAGCCTTTGGCCGCTCTAGACCCACCCCTCTACCTACCCTGCAACCTGGGCTTCCTTACTCCTGGTTAGGAGTAAGTAGTAAGAACCCCAATCCCTAAAAGGAACCCCATTAGGAACCCTCATAGGAATCATAATAAGAACCCTGATAAGAACCCAGCTTCAGGGGACTTAGGTTTGTGCCGCCGTGCTTCTCTGCGGACCCAGCGATCGGGGTTTTGGATGCTGGGGTTCAGAAGCTGGCTGCAACTTTGGAAGTTTCTTCTTTGGCACACAACAATATGGGGCCCCCTAATTAGGACTTATAACCTAATTTCAGGTACTTCTAACTCAGTAAGCGCCCGTACAACTCACCTTATAACTAGCCTTATAACTACGGGGCTCCTTGTTGCAAGGAGAGAGTGTTTTGTCATTTAAGACATCTTATATTCAGGATGTTTCGCAGAGAGCTGAGTCCTGAAGCCAGCCTATGCGAAAGTTTGCATTCAGCTTCCCGGACATATGGTGCTGTCAAGATCTATTAAAGAATGAAGAAGAAGAACAACAACAGCAGCAGCAGCAGTAGCAACAACAACAACAACCACAACCATGCAAGTCACACCAACACATGCCATGTCACGCAAAGCATGAGCTCCCACGAAGCAACGCAATCGAAAACACATACGCATGACAGGCGACCCAAGCAAGGCATGCAAACTGTCCTCCATGCGTGCGAATACAACGTGCCATGCCAAGCAATCATGCAACAGAAACATGTCAATAGCACGCATGCAACATGCCTAGGAACTTGCAGGAACGTGACAAGTTATCAATTACAGACCTAGCCAACTGCAAAACCTCTCCCTGGCCATGCAAGAAACCCTCAGCAGAATTCCCGCTGAACCGTCATGATAATCACGTCAACCACATGCTGCAGCTCCGCAGAGCTGCCATGCACGCGCCGTGTTTCAGCGTGCCCATGACTCCTACACCTATGAACGCAGAACATGTTTTCTCGCCCGCAAAGTTTCCAAATCGAGAAAGCCGCTGCGAAATTTGCAAAATCGGCATACAAAATCCTGCAACATGGATTTTTGTGCAGCCCTTCTAACGAGTTAGCTCCTGTTATCTTAACTAGTTAGCTAACTGGTTAGGTTTTCAGGCTAACTGGGTAATTTTTTTAACTTGAGTTAAGAAGTTAGCGAAAACTATCTAGTTCATTTATACCCTTAGCTTTTAATACACTGATTTAGAAGCAATTTAGAAGTAATTTAGAAGTAACTTACATACATGTTAGTAAGTTGTCTAAATGGTAAGCAACACCCGGAACATTCAAGTACGGGCTCGACCTCCCGGCGAACGTCCTCTGCCGCCATTGGGTGTGTTGCTGCGTCCGCGCTGCTGGGGCATCTCGTGCTTATACTTACAGGATTCCCCCTTGTTGCAGGAGCCACTGCGCACAAAAGCAACGCAGAAACCTTTGGGAACGCGTTTCGGGGCTGGAACAGTGGGTTGACCAGCGGTTTGCTTAAGCAATCCTTTCCCGATTACGTTCAAGTCTCTTCCTATTGATATGATTGCTCGCTGCATCGTAGAGGAA